GGGGACCTTGTGCCCCACCCCCCCCGAGCCCCAAGCCCTGGGCATCCATGGGCACCACCATCATCCTCCTCCCAGCCCCTCTCCACCTCCTTGATCCTCCTCATCCCCAGCAGCTCCGACTGGGAGCATCCTTGGGGGGGGGCATCTCCAAGCTCCGTCCCCTCCTGGTGCAGATGGGGACAGAGGGACTCTGTGCCACATCCCCACCGAGCCCCAAGCCCTGGGCATCCATGGGCACCACCATCATCCTCCTCCCAGCCCCTCTCCACCTCCTTGATCCTCCTCATCCCCAGCAGCTCCAACTGGGAGCATCCTTGGGGGGGGGGCATCTCCAAGCGCTGCACCCCAGAATGGGGCTGGGAGGGGGAAAAGACACCCCAGGAGGACCTTACCCAGTGTGTGTGTCCCCCCCAGAGACACATCAATGTTGGGCAGCCCAAGGTTGTCCCTATGGACCCCCAACCCAGGCAGCAAGGAGGGTCACAGCCCCCAAGAAGGGGGGGGGGAGGTGACAATTTGCTGGGAATGGGAAGGAAACTGCAGATTGTCACCTATGGACATGGGGACAGCAGCTCTGCTCCCCAAAATATCCTCACACACCCCCAAAATTATCCGGGCAAGGAGCCAGGGGGAGAAGGGTGCAGGACAAGGAACCAGGAGCCCCTCGAGGATCTCCCGTGCCCCTCGACACCCTGGGACAGGAGGCAGCGTAGTAAGAGGGGGGTGCACACCCTCACCCCCACCCCCAGCTGCAAACATCTGGGTCCCCAGGGTCCAAAAAGGGGGCCCAGAGGTGGCCAGAGGGGTCCCACCCTGACCCTGACCACAGGAGAAGCTCTTGCCCAGGCAAGACCAGGGCAGTGTCGCCCCGCTGAGAAACATTAGGGATGAGAGATATTAGTCGTTTAGCTTAATTAAGCTCATTTTAAATCCAATAAATGACTTAGGGTTCTAATACGGCGTGATTTGTGCTGTTTGCTTCGCACGAGTAGCTGGGTTTGCTGATGCCTTCAGGCCACGACAGTTTTCTTAGTAATTTTAGTAGAAGTTGAACGTTTTCAGCAGAAGGAAAATGTTGATGACACACTGCTGTTTTGGTAGGGATTTTCCCCAAGTCTGGGGTTTTTCGGTCCCCCCAACGAGCACAGATGGCCAAGAAGGGTTGAGCAGAAGAGCCCCCCAACGAGCACAGATGGCCAAGAAGGGCAGAGCAGAAGATACGGGGTGACAACCAAGGGGGTGTTAGAAGACCCCAACCCAAAAGTCACCATTGGACTAAGAGATGGGTGAAGAGCGCGTGGAGAGATGGAAAGAGCCTGATTCCCCAAGTATTTATTCAGGGTAGAGCAGAAGATAAGGGGGTGACAACCAAGGGGGTGTTAGAAGACCCCAACCCAAAAGTCACCATTGGACTAAGAGATGGGTGAAGAGCGCGTGGAGAGATGGAAAGAGCCTGATTCCCCAAGTATTTATTCAGGGTAGAGCAGAAGATAAGGGGGTGACAACCAAGGGGGTGTTAGAAGACCCCAACCCAAAAGTCACCATTGGACTAAGAGATGGGTGAAGAGCGCGTGGAGAGATGGAAAGAGCCTGATTCCCCAAGTATTTATTCAGGGTAGAGCAGAAGATAAGGGGGTGACAACCAAGGGGGTGTTAGAAGACCCCAACCCAAAAGTCACCATTGGACTAAGAGATGGGTGAAGAGCGCGTGGAGAGATGGAAAGAGCCTGATTCCCCAAGTATTTATTCAGGGTAGAGCAGAAGATAAGGGGGTGACAACCAAGGGGGTGTTAGAAGACCCCAACCCAAAAGTCACCATTGGACTAAGAGATGGGTGAAGAGCGCGTGGAGAGATGGAAAGAGCCTGATTCCCCAAGTATTTATTCAGGGTAGAGCAGAAGATAAGGGGGTGACAACCAAGGGGGTGTTAGAAGACCCCAACCCAAAAATCACCATTGGATTAACAGATGGGTGAAGAGCGTGTGGAGAGATGGAAAGAGTCTGATTCCCCAAGTATTTATTCCTTTGGGGTCCCTCCATTTTTGGGGACACCCAGGGCTGACCTCGCTGTTGTACCTTTTGGTTAAATTAATTATTTTCATAAAAACTGGTGCCTGAGGCTCCACTGTGGGATCCAGCCTGAAGAAGGAGTGAGCACACCCAAGTGTGTGTGTGAGAGGAGCAGGAAGGGGCACCCCTCAGCTCATGGGGGTGTCCCCCCACCAGAAGACCCTGCTCCTGGCGGTGACACACTGGTGTGATGGGTGTGTGGCTCCTGGAATGGGGTGGGAATGCTTGGCCAGTGGCTTCTCCTTCTCTCCAGCTGGCACCCAAAGCCCCAACACTGGCCAACACGAGCCTCCCAGTGCCCAAGCATCCTCAGGACCGAGGTTATGGCCTTGGAGACACGTCCCCAACCTCGTGGTGACCCCGCTCCCAGCCCAACCTTGTGGTTTTTGGGAAAGCTTTGATGTTTTGCCCACCTCAAGATGCTCCAGGTGCCCCGAGCTGGCGAAGGGAATAGGGGCACCCAGCCAGGTCCTTCCTTGGCCCTGGCCACCTCTGGATGCTCCAGCCTGGAGAGCAGCCCCAACCCAAGCAGGAGGGTTTGCTTTGGCCCCAACACCTCGCTCTGGGACAGCAGAGAGGTCCCCGAGCTTGGGGACAAGTGCTCCTCAGAGCCTCTTGACCAGCAGGTTCCCAGGGGAATCGAGTCCCGGGGAAGGGGGTCAGCAAACACACGTGAAGTGGGTTGCACCCCCCCCAGGAGCACGATTGTTCACCAGGACCACGAGTCCCTTCACAAGGGCCACCCCATTCCTCACCCCCAGCACCTCGATATAAAGCCAGGACGGCCCAGGCTGGGAAGAGGAGGAGGAGGAGGAAGAGGAAGCGGCCATGGAGAGCAGCATGAAGGAGGTGGTGGTGGTGGAAGAGCCACTGGTGAGTCCCTGCCACCCTCAGTGGGGTGACACAGCCACATTTGGGGTGTCCCTTGTCCCCAACAGCGATGCTTGGACACAGGGGTTTTGCCCAGTTTATCCCAGCAAGGAGCAAAACCCCACGGGATGCTGCATCCCCAGAGCTGGGGGGTGGCAGGATAGGGGGGAAAAAACCCACCCCCAGCCCCCCAGCTCCCATCTCCTTCCCGTTCACCCCATTTTTCCCCCTTTTCCCTGTGCCCACAGGACCCCGAGAAGTGCTGTGGCTCCGGCTGCTGCCCCCAGGGATGCTGCGGGCCGGGCTGCTGCGTGTCCTGTGGCATTTGCTGCACCAAATGCTGTGCCAAATGCTGCCTGCCCCGGTGCTGCAAGTGCCCCAGTTGCCCCAGTTGCCCCCATTGCCCCCGTTGTTGCCCCAGTTGCCCCGGTTGCCCCCGTTGTTGCCCCAGTTGCGGTTGCCTCAAGCGGTCCCTCTGCTGCTTGCCCCGTTTGCTCTGCTACTTGCCCCGCAAGCTCCTCAGCTGCTGCCACCTCAAGTGCCTCCTCATCACGGTGGTGGTGGTGGTCCTGCTGGTGGTCATCATCGCCGGCATCCTGCTGATGTGGCTGCGGGTCGACCAACAACACGCCGACGCCGTAAGTAGGGACATCCCCCCCCTTGTCACCACCACCACCCACCCCCCGACCTCAGGGAAGGGGCTACCACTTCTTGTCCCCCTCCTCCAGGTCCTGAGGATGGGCTTGCAGAGAGGATGGGCTTGGGAAGAGGATGTGGCCACCTTCTACCTGGATGGTGGAGATGGAAACCCGGCCACGGTCATCTACGACTACAAGAATGTAAGTGGGGAACCCTGCGTGGTTGGGGGATGGGGGGAACATGGGGAAGGGGTGTCCCACCCCCCCGAGATGTTGAGGGTGTCCTTCAAACAGCTCCTGGTGAGCTTCAGATCCCATCTCCACCGTGCCTGCTACGTCACCCGGGTGGACAAGGACAATATCCCTGGGCTGGATGCCATCGCCGAGACCTTCCAGCGCCGGCTGGTGAGTTTTGACCCCCCTGGAGCTTTGGGGGGGGGGACACAACAATGCCCTGAGCATCCCACCTCGTGTGACCCCCCCCGATGAAGAATTGGGGTGCAGGACTCCCTTGTTTTACCTTCTCCCCCCTCTCCAGGCTGAGAAGAAACTGGCCGTGCCCCTGGCTGATCGCTCCCTCCTGGGTACCACAGCGAGCATCCTCTGCAGCATCATCCCCATCTACCAAAAAGCCCCCCCCCCCATGGGCAGGGGGCTGTCAGGGGGGGGTTGGGGGACCCCCCCGCACCCAGCAACACCCTCACACTTGTTGGAGAAAGGGTTAAAGCAAAATTGTTCCGGGCCAATTTTTACACTGCACCATTGTTTTGGATTTTCTTAAAAAACCCAACACACTTAGATAATTCACAACTTGAAGCAATATCTGACCTGGAGGCCATCACTTGATGCTTAATGGGGACAGCTGGTTTGTCACTTGGCTCAGCTTCGCCAAACCCAAGTGCAAAAAAAAAGAAAAAAAAAGGAAAAAATGCAAACCCCAAACCCTCGTGACATTTAAAGAAAGCAAATCCGCCGTTCCACTTCTTCTCCCGCCTTCAAAATAATTTGCATTTTAAGGGATCTGAGCAGTTTGGGGGCAAATTTTTGCTGCAGCCACAGCCTGGGGACCCCCCCTGGAGGTATCTTCCCCC